ACGGGTGACGGACGGGCGACGGGGTGGGCGACGGGGTGGGTGACGGGACGGGCGACGGGGTGGGTGACGGGGTGGGTGACGGGGTGGGTGACGGGACGGGTGACGGGACGGGTGACGGGACGGGTGACGGGACGGGTGACGGGGTGGGTGACGGGACGGGCGACGGGGTGGGTGACGGGACGGGTGACGGGGTGGGTGACGGGGTGGGTGACGGGACGGGTGACGGGACGGGTGACGGGACGGGTGACGGGGTGGGTGACGGGACGGGCGACGGGGTGGGTGACGGGGTGGGTGACGGGGTGGGCGACGGGGTGGGTGACGGGGTGGGTGACGGGGTGGGTGACGGGACGGGTGACGGGACGGGTGACGGGACGGGCGACGGGGTGGGTGACGGGACGGGTGACGGGGCAAGCGACGGGGCAGGCGACAGTGTGGGTGACGGGGTGGGTGACGGGACGGGTGACGGGGCAGGCGACTGGGCATCGCCGCGTGAGACGCTCCTCCGTCCGAGTTTGCGAGCGCACGTTGTTGGCCGCGGTCAGGACGCGTCATTAATTACATCTACACCCCCCCCCCCCACTTCCAGGGGGGTGGGCGGGGGGGGGGGCAGGGAAGGGCATTAGGTAGAGCGGCAGAAGAAAGGAAAATAATTAAGAAATAACGGCCTCATTTACACGCATCGATGGGTCACCATCAGCGCGCTGGAAATGGCCAGCGGAGAGAATGACGACACAGACAAAGGCGCCCCGGGTAGCCTTCACCAGGCTGCTCGGGGCAAGTGCCGTTCGCTGAGCACCCACGGAGACTGGGCACGGCACGGCGCGGCCCGGGTGGCTGACGTTTTATACGTTTTCAAGGCCGAGTCGACCTAGGGGAGGGGCAGGATGGGCTGGGGTAAATCGTCACTGCCGCTGTCGGCGAGCGGGAATCCAACCTCGGGTGCAGGCCGGCGGGTTCGTAGCGCGGCGCGCGAACCGCTGCGCCACAGCTCCCCGCACGATAACCCCGCGCGATAACCACGCACGGGAACACGGATAGGCACGTGGGTGCACAACAGAGGTCGCAAACGGGTTTTGATTCCTTACCCGTACCCGGCCGCACCAGGGTCGCAAATGGGTACCCGTACCCGGCCGGGTACCCGTTCCCTACCCGTACCCTACCCGAAATGAGTGACAAACGGTGACTCACCAGTGACTCACGGCCTACCCGTACCCGTCCCCTGCCGCACCAGGGTCGCAAACTCTCCCACTCACTCACCCACTCACCCACCAATTCAGCTACTTACTCACTCACCCACCCACTCACCCACTCACTCACCCACTCACTCACCCGCTCACTCACCCACTCACGAACTCACCCACTCACCCACCCACGCACTCACCCACTCACCCACGCACCCACTTACTCACCCACCAACCAGAGGTCGCAAACGGGTTTTGATTCCTTACCCGTACCCGGCCGCACCAGGGTCGCAAACGGCTACCCATACCCGGCCGGGTACGGGTAACCGGGTATCGGGTAGGGTACGGGTATCGGGTACCCGGTTGCGACCTCTGGTGCACAAACGTGCCACCACCTCCGAGGGTCCCGAGGGCGAGTGCAGTTAGCGAGCGCCTATTAAGGCGACGCCTCATTCTCATGTCTCACAAACCTCGGCCCGCCTGCCTCCAACTCCTCCGGCAACGCTCCCCCCCCCCCCTCCCGTCCCTTCATCTCCTCCCTTCCCTCTGTCCCTCCCTTCTCTACTTTCCACTCTCTCCATCTCACACCTCTCTCTCTCTCTCCTCCTCCTTCACCTCCCATCCCTCCCATCATCCCCCTCTCTCTACCACCTCTCTTCCTACTCCATGTCGCTCTCTCTCTCTCTCTCCTCCTTCACCTACCTACCTCCCTCCCTCCCATCTTCCCCGTCCCCCCCACCCACCCTTCTCTACTTTCCCCTCTCTCCATCTCACACCTCTCTCTCTTCCTCCTCTTTCACCTCCCTCCCTCCTTCACCTCCCTCCCTCCCATCCCCCCCTCCCTCCATCTCCCCCCCTCCCCTTCCCCGCACGTGACTCTGCCCCAGGCTCTAGACACTGTGTGCCCTCTCAAGCATAAAATTACCCCGTCAGACGCAGTACCCACACCAGCCTTTCAATTTCAACCTCCCCCACAGCCCCCCCCTCACCCACAGCCCCCCCCGCCCCCCCGCCCAGCCTCCAGCTCACATCGCAGACTCCACTAAATAACGGAACCTTTTCTTGCTCACAATACAAAATAAATAAAAGTCCCCGTGGCCTGCCTCTCGCACGCACGCGGTAGTTGTGTGCGAGCGTGTGTGCGTGTGCTGGTGTGTGTGCACGTGTGTGTGCGCACGTGCGTACTTGTGCGCGTGAGTGCATGTGAGAGAGTGGGTGTGTGTATTTGCGTGTGCGTGCAAGTGCATCACACGCACAAACACACACACAAGCAAAAGCACACACACACACTTATATACACAATCACACACACGCACACAAATACGCACGCACTCACTGGTACACACACACTGGTACACACACACTGGTACACACACACGCACACACAAACACACACACACACTGGTACACACACACGAACACACAAACACGCACACACACACGAACACACACACACTGGTACACACACACGCACCGTGTCAGTGTGCCCACGCACACACACGAACACACACTCACCGGCACACACACACGAACACACACTCAATGGTACACACACACGAACACACACACACGCACGTGTCAGTGTGCCCACGCGCACACACAGACACACGAACACACACACACACGCACTGGTACACACACGAACACACACACACACACGAAGACACACACACTGGTACACACACACACACACGAACACACACACGAAGACACACGCACTCACACACTAACACACACACACAAACACACACACACACACGAACACACACACACTCACCGGCACACACACACGAACACACACACACGAACACACACACACGAACGCACACACACACACTCACACACACACACACGCACCGTGTCAGTGTGCCCACGCGCACACATTCATCTCTGTCTGCGAATCAGTGAGTCATGAAAGACGCGCGCCACTCGACCTCGCGCACGCGCGCACACACACAAGACAAAGGCACCCCGTGTAGCCTCGGCAGACTGTTGGGGCAAGTGCTGTTAGCGAGCGGCAGTGCCTATGAAGGCCGGCACGGCGCACGAGGGGGGTGGGTGGCCAGCACCACGCCCGGCCGCCTTTGTCTCCCCGGTGGCGATGTTCACCACACACCGCACCGGGTTACTCATCTGAGAGGCTGAGTCGACCTAGGGGAGGGCCCACGACCGGCTCAGACAATAATCGCCACCGGTGTTTTTGGCCCGTGAGCGAGGGCTCGCTAACCGTGGCGCCACCGCTCAGAAAGACGCGTACTCAGGTGGGGCACGGGGCTCGGGTGGGCACGTGCTCAGGTGGGGCACGTGCTCAGGTGGGGCACGTGCTCAGGTGGGCACGGGGCTCAGGTGGGGCACGTGCTCAGGTGGGCACGTGCTCAGGTGGGCACGTGCTCAGGTGGGGCACGTGCTCAGGTGGGGCACGTGGCTCAGGTGGGGCACGTGGCTCAGGTGGGGCACGTGCTCAGGTGGGCACGTGGAGGGTCGGGGTGTGAGGTGGGGGGGGTGAGTCGTCATGGCCGTAGGTCCCGGGTTCGAACCCCTGGATCTGGGCGTCTCTCCCCCCCTCCCCCCGTCTCTCTCTCTCTCTCAGCGGGTTCCTAATAGCCGTGTCAGAAACACTTAATCCCGTTAAATCCCTAGATCATCCGTTCAGGCCCTGGGTGTTTTGAGTTTCTCTCAGGAGGCGCATTAATTGTTGAGATTGTCAGTTCCAAGCAGGATCTGGGTGTGTGTGTCTCTGTCTCTCTCTCTCTCTCGAAGTTCATAATGGCCGTGCATGGATGCCATGCTTGTAGTGCGGAGATCCTGGAGGCAAGGCTTGGGTTTGTGTGTCCGTGTGTGTGTGTGTGTCTGTGTGTCTTTGTCTGTCTGTGTGTGTCCGTGTGTGTGTCTGTGTGTGTGTGTCCGTGTGTGTGTCCATGTGTGTGTGTCCGTGTGTGTGTCTGGTCGACTCAGCCTTAAATGAGTACCTGGTGCGGTGTGTAAACATCGCCACTGGGGAGACAAAGGCAGTCGGGCATGGTGCTGGCCACCCACCCCCTCGTTCGTGTACCGTTCCGGCCTTCATAGGTGCTCGTTAACAGCACTTGCCCCTACAGTCTGTTAAGGCTATACGGGGGATCTTTATCTTTGTGTGTGTCTGTGTGTGTGTCTGTGTCGTTATGGGGAGCGGTTGTGTAGCAGTTAGCGCAATAAAACCCGGCGACCAGAGTTCGATTCCCGTTTATGGCCAACACCAGTGACGATTATCTGAACCGGTCCTGGGCCTCCCCTAGGTCGACTCAGCCTCTCAAATGAGTTCCTGGTGCGGTGTGTAAACATCGCCACTGGGGAGACAAAGGCGGCCGGGCGTGGTGCTGGCCACCCACCCCCTCGTGTGCCGTGCTGGCCTTCATAGGTGCTCGCTAACAGCACTTGCCCCAACAGTCCGTTAAGGCTACACGGGGGGTCTGTCTTTGTGTGTCTCTCTCTCTGGGGTTCACAATGGCCATGTCGGTCGGACGGACGGACGGAGAGAGACAAACGGACAGACAGACAGACGGACGGCGCTAACGCGTGAGCTTGGTGAGTGCGGAGCGCACGAGCGCTGACGTGCCAGCCGGGGGGCTCGCCGTGCCGGCGATCGTTCCTGGCACAGGGCAATCACACCGGCACTCGGACCGCTCACGACACTCAGGCTACTCACGGCACTCACGACACTCACCGCGATCGTACCGGCACTCACCACGATCACGACACTCACGACACTCACGGTGAACGTACCGGCGCTCACGGCGCTCACGGCACTCACCGCGATCACGGCACTCACGGTGAACGTACCGGCGCTCACGGCGATCGGCTTCTCCAGCAGGAAGACGGTTTGTTTCCAGTGCGTGCCGGGGCAGCCAGGGGCCGTGGAGAACATGACCTGGCGACGACACCGAGAGAGACGCACACACACGCACACACACACACACGCACGCACACGCACACGCGCGCACACACACACGCACACACACGCGCACACACACACGCACACACACGCGCACACACACACGGACAAACACACACACAAACACGCACACACACGCATACACACACGGACAAACACACGCACACACACACGCACAAACACGCGCACACACACACATGCACACACACGGACAAACACACACGCACGCACACACACACAAACACGCGCACACACACACACAAACACGCGCACACACACACACATGCACACGCACGCACACATACAAGCACGCTCAGGGTCATTTATTCGTTTTGGAGAAATCCGAAGAGCTACGAAGCTTTTTCTCACAGAAATGTCCGTCCAAACAACGTGAAAGTGTTGGCACAGTAGGGGGCACAGGTGGTGCATCAGCCAGTCATCACAGTCAGTCAACCCGTGGCACCTGCTGGGTCTGTCCCGTGACCTCCTGCCAGCGGGCGTTCGACACTTCACGTGGCATTAAAGCGCACCTAGCCTGGCACAGGCTATCGTTGTTGCTGTGTGCGTGTGAGTGGGGAGTGGTGGTGTAGCGGCTATCACGCCGCGCTACGAACCCGGCGACCCGAGTTCGATTCGCGGCCACAATCACCGGTGACGATTATCTGAACCGGTCCTGGGCCCTCCCCTAGGTCGACTCAGCCTCAAGTAAACATCGCCACTGGGGAGACAAAGGCAGCCGGTCTTCATCGGTGCCCGGCCTCGTTACTCGCCGCTAACAGCACTTGCCTCTCCGGCCCGGCCGAGGCTATCCGGGGGCGATCCTTTGTCCGCGTGTCAGAGGTCGCAACCGGGTACCCGATACCCGTACCCTACCCGATACCCGGCTACCCGGCCGGGTACGGGTAGCCGTTTGCGACCCTGGTGCGGCCGGGTACGGGTACGGGTAGGCCGTGAGTCACTGGTGAGTCACCGTTTGTCACTCATTTCCCAACGTCTTGTCTCTTCTCACAATTCAAATTCCTAGAATCAACCCACCCGCGCCTGCAACATGGCTTCATCCCAGAGGTCGCAATCGGGTACCCGATACCCGATACCCGGCTACCCGTACCCGGCTGGGTACGGGTAGCCGGGTACCGGGTATCGGGTACGGGTACCCGTTTGCGACCCTGGTGCGGCCGGGTACGGGTAAGGAATCAAAACCCGTTTGCGACCTCTGCCGCGTGTGTGATGTGTGCCGTGTGACGATGTCACTGGGCTCACTTTTTCGGTGCAGTCCTTGCTGAAGTAAACGTCAAAGTAGCCCACGAGGCCCTGCAACAAACACAACAACTCGAGGTCAGGGGATTTCAAGTCGTTGGGAGTGCGTATGTAACGTGTGTATGTTGAACACATCCCCACACCCCCACACCCTTCACACACCCCACCCCCCCCCCCACACACACACGGAGGTCACCCAGGGGTCAGATTCAGGTAGGAGCCGAGTCGCTCCGCATCCCGCACGCATTTCTCGGAATCGATTTTTACGCCAACACCCACCCAGGTCCCCCCCCCCCCCCCCCCATAGCACAACTTATTTATTTATTTACACGCTGGGGGGGGGGGGGGCACGAGATGGATTAACGGTGAAGCCCGGTCGTTCGGCCATCTCTCAAAACGAACCCAGCGGGAAATCGTTCACCCACCCGCGCGCCCATCATCGTCGCCCATCATCATCGTCGCCCATCATCGTCGCCCACGCGCCTCTCGCCATCCTAGCAGGCAAGGCCCCACTGACCTCTTTCCCAGAAGCCAGCCGAAATGGCCTTATCATCGTCGTCGTCGTCGTCGTAGTCGCGTGGAAGTTTATAGCAGCAGGCAAATACTCTAAAACGCGCGACGTGGTGGAGGGAAAAAAAACGGAGGAACTGGAGATAAAATCCACGCGACCACGGGGAGAGAGAGACACGCAAACTCCAAATACACAGCAGCAGGCGTCAGGGTCGGGATCGAACCCACGACCTCCTGCGTACCAGGCGAGGTGGTTAACATCTCCTAGCTACCGTGATGATGATGATAGAGAGACGCAAACTCCAAATATACAGCAGCAGGCGTCAGGGTCGGGAACGAACCCACGACCTCCTGTGCACCAGGCGAGGTGGTTAACATCTCCTAGCCACCGTGGTGATGATGAGAGACGCAAACTCCAAATATACAGCCGCAGGCGTCAGGGTCGGGATCGAACCCACGACCTCCTGCACACCAGGCGAGGTAGTTAACATCTCCTAGCCACCGTGGCGCCCTTATTAATGGGAACCCAACCCGAACAGTCCACCCACATCGAGAGGGGAAAACGCGAGAACCAACTGCGCAACGAGTCAAAGTATCGCACGTTCTCCAGGCATGAGGCCTACTGCTGGGGAAGGTTGAAAACCGGCACCCCGACACTACGGTAGGTGGCGATCGGGGGGAGTGGGGGGGGGGGGGAGATAATTTAAATTAAACAAAATCGAAAAATCAAGTAAAATATAAAACGCAATTCCCGGGAGCGACGGACAAAATTGTGCGTCCGTGTGAATGTCGTCGCGTCCCGAGTGGAGGGAAACAAAAGTACAAAACAGGACACCGCCGGAGACTCGCACGTGGGGTGGCGGACACAAGCGAGGAGGCGCTCCCCGCTGACGATTTGATTCTGGACCACCCACCGGGAGTTGGCAAAGGAAGGCCGCGAAATTGACGTGAGAGCGAGCGCGAGCGCTCGTAGAGACACGAGCGGGAGAGTCGGCACGGAAGCGAGCGAGGCGGCGGGTCACCGCTAGTGAGCGAGCGAGTTGGCGAGCCACCGCTACTGAGCGAGTAAGCGAGCGAGTCGGTGAGCCACTGCTGGTGAGTAAGTACGAGAGCAAGGCGGTGAGCCACTGCTCGTAAGTACGAGAGCAAGGCGGTGAGCCACCGCTACTGAGCGAGTAAGCGAGCGAGTCGTTGAGCCACTGCTGGTGAGTAAGTACGAGAGCAAGGCAATGAGCCACTGCTAGTGAGCGAGTAAGCGAGTGAGGCAGTGAGCCACCGCTAGTGAGTAAGTATGCGAGCGAATCGGTGAGCCACTGCTCATAAGCGAGCGAGCCAGCGAGTCGGCGAGCGACCTCTCATGAGCGAGCGCGTGAGCCAGCACGTGAGTGAGTACGAGAGCAAGGCGGCGAGCCACCACTAGTGAGTAAGTATGAGAGCAAGGCGGCGAGCCACTGCTCGTGAGCGAACGAGCCAGCGAGTCGGCGAGCCACCGCTCATGAGCGTGCGAGTTGGCGTGCGAGTACGCGAGTGAGGCAGCGGACCACCTCTCGTGAGCGAGCGAGTTGGCGAGCCACCGCTCATGAGCGAGCGAGTTGGCGAGCCACTGCTCATGAGCGAGCGAGCCAGCACGCGAGCGGAGGTAGCGACACGAAGCGTAATCACGGACCCCCGGGGGGGGAGGGGGGGGGGTAAGTGACCCGGAACGGCGCTCGCCGGGACCCCATCGTGACAGGACTGGACGCTCCCCTGACAGGACGTTACTTAAAGCGAAATTGAACCCTAATTGACCGACAGGGAGACGCAGGAGGGGGGTGGGGGGGAGAGGGGGAGGGGATCAATCGCTAAGACTCGAGGAATCAATCAAGAAACGGCTGTGAAGTCCCGTCCCTTGTTGAGCCGCTACGTCGCTGAAATGTTGTAAATATTAAAAAAAAAAAAAAATCCGCGTCCCTGTATTTCAACCGCCATCGTGTGCCGACTTCGTATTTGTAAGCGACATGTTTTTTTGGGGTTTTAGTTTAGAGACGAGTGAAGCTGAACAATGTTAGACAGACAGATGGAGTCTCTAGAACAATGGGAGACAGAGCAGCCTCTGATGATGTCTCTAGAACAATGGGAGACAGAGCAGTGTCTGATGATGTCTCTAGAACAATGGGAGACAGAGCAGCCTCTGATGATGTCTCTAGAACAATGGGAGACAGAGCAGTGTCTGATGATGTCTCTAGAACAATGGGAGACAAAACAGTGTCTGATGATGTCTCTAGAACAATGGGAGACAGAGCAGTGTCTGATGATGTCTCTAGAACAATGGGAGACAGAGCAGTGGCTGATGATGTCTCTAGAACAATGGGAGACAGAGCAGTGTCTGATGATGTCTCTAGAACAATGGGAGACAGAGCAGTGTCTGATGAAGTCTCTAGAACAATGGGAGACAGAGCAGCGTCTGATGATGTCTCTAGAACAATGGGAGACAAAACAGTGTCTGATGTCTCTAGAACAATGGGAGACAAAACAGTGTCTGATGATGTCTCTAGAACAATGGGAAACAGAGCAGTGTCTGATGATGTCTCTAGAACAATGGGAGACAGAGCAGTGTCTGATGATGTCTCTAGAACAATGGGAGACAGAGCAGCCTCTGATGATGTCTCTAGAACAATGGGAGACAGAGCAGTGTCTGATGATGTCTCTAGAACAATGGGAGACAGAGCAGTGTCTGATGATGTCTCTAGAACAATGGGAGACAGAGCAGTGTCTGATGAAGTCTCTAGAACAATGGGAGACAGAGCAGTGTCTGATGGAGTCTCTAGAACAATGGGAGACAGAGCAGCGTCTGATGATGTCTCTAGAACAATGGGAGACAGAGCAGCGTCTGATGGTGTCTCTAGAACAATGGGAGACAGAGCAGTGTCTGATGAAGTCTCTAGAACAATGGGAGACAGAGCAGTGTCTGATGGAGTCTCTAGAACAATGGGAGACAGAGCAGTGTCTGATGATGTCTCTAAAACAATGGGAAACAGAGCAGCGTCTGATGATGTCTCTAGAACAATGGGAGACAGAGCAGCGTCTGATGGAGTCTCTAGAACAATGGGAGACAGAGCAGTGTCTGATGATGTCTCTAGAACAATGGGAGACAGAGCAGCGTCTGATGATGTCTCTAGAACAATGGGAGACAAAGCAGTGTCTGATGGTGTCTCTAGAACAATGGGAGACAGAGCAGCGTCTGATGATGTCTCTAGAACAATGGGAGACAAAGCAGTGTCTGATGGTGTCTCTAGAACAATGGGAGACAGAGCAGCGTCTGATGATGTCTCTAGAACAATGGGAGACAAAGCAGTGTCTGATGGTGTCTCTAGAACAATGGGAGACAGAGCAGCGTCTGATGATGTCTCTAGAACAATGGGAGACAGAGCAGCGCCTGATGGTGTCTCTAGAACAATGGGAGACAGAGCAGCGTCTGATGGTGTCTCTAGAACAATGGGAGACAGAGCAGTGTCTGATGGTGTCTCTAGAACAATGGGAGACAGAGCAGTGTCTGATGATGTCTCTAGAACAATGGGAGACAGAGCAGTGTCTGATGATGTCTCTAGAACAATGGGAGACAGAGCAGTGTCTGATGGTGTCTCTAGAACAATGGGAGACAGAGCAGCGTCTGATGATGTCTCTAGAACAATGGGAGACAGAGCAGTGTCTGATGAAGTCTCTAGAACAATGGGAGACAGAGCAGTGTCTGATGGAGTCTCTAGAACAATGGGAGACAGAGCAGTGTCTGATGGAGTCTCTAGAACAATGGGAGACAGAGCAGTGTCTGATGATGTCTCTAGAACAATGGGAGACAGATCAGTGTCTGATGATGTCTCTAGAACAATGGGAGACAGAGCAGTGTCTGATGATGTCTCTAGAACAATGGGAGACAGAGCAGTGTCTGATGATGTCTCTAGAACAATGGGAGACAGAGCAGTGGCTGGTGATGTCTTTAGAACAATGGGAGACAGAGCAGTGTCTGATGATGTCTCTAGAACAATGGGAGACAAAACAGTGCCTGATGATGTCTCTAGAACAATGGGAGACAAAACAGTGTCTGATTATGTCTCTAGAACAATGGGAGACAGAACAGCGTCTGATGATGTCTCTAGAACAATGGGAGACAGAACAGCGTCTGATGATGTCTCTAGAACAATGGGAGACAGAGCAGTGTCTGATGATGTCTCTAGAACAATGGGAGACAGAGCAGTGCCTGATGGTGTGTCTAGAACAATGGAAGACAGAGCAGTGTCTGATGGAGTCTCTAGAACAATGGGAGACAGAGCAGTGTCTGACGAGGTCTCTAGAACAATGGGAGACAGAGCAGTGTCTGATGATGTCTCTAGAACAATGGAAGACAGAGCAGTGTCTGATGATGTCTCTAGAACAATGGGAGACAGAGCAGCGTCTGATGGAGGTCTCCGGATAGTAAGAGTATTGAAGTATAATTTATTCACGCGACAGGTAACGATTTGTGAAACCAGCAGATGCCGTGAGCTGCTCGCGCGTGAGCGTGACACACA